TACACTCTATAGCTAAGTTTTGCTTTATACCATTGGTGACTAACATTAGCATAAGTTTTGCAGTGAGGTTTTTTTCCTTTTGCCTGCAACTATATACACATTGCAAAACTATTCTGTATCACATGATCTGAAATGAAATAAATATAAAAATGAAGCACACAATCAACACATTAACTTTAATACTCCACATTATTAATCTTGATCACAATGGTCATAACTGCCTTGTCAACAATCTTGTGAGTTGAGGAGCTGATTTTCATTCTCATATCCATCAGGCAGATACGCTCTCCTCAGCTGGTCTGACTTAGGTATGGACCCTCCGTTTTTCACGTGTCGAGACAGGAATGCTCGGACTGCTGGATGATCAGCCTTCTCTAAGGGGATGTTGGCTTCCAGGCACATTTTCACAAAGTCCTGGATAACACTGACTTTCTCTGTTTGTGCAGTACTGTTGCACTGAAGAGATGCAGTCAGGGGCCTCTGCTTCTTTCTCACATTCTGCTCTTCAAATTCTGCCTTCCTCTTAGTGTGTGTCTTTGACTTGAGGTGGTCACTAATGGCAGACTTGCGAACATGATTCAGAACCACATTGCAAGAAGTGCAGAAGAGTTTTCCTCCATCTTCATGAAGCTCACCTCCAAATTCAGTGACTCGATCCAGAGGGGTCACATACAAAGCAGTCTTAGAACGGTTCCGAGCAGGTGGTGCTGTTACTACAAACCGTTCCATTTTGACTGAGTAAGGTTCTTCTAAGACAAGAGAAAGACGTAAGTATCACGATAATAGTTCATTCTAGAAGTGATTTAACAATGATAGGGTTAAAGTGCTTTTTTAGGAGTAAATAAAGATTTAAGAAAACCAGCCCCTCCCTCAACCAAAAACCTCAAACTTAATTTGGAAGGTTGTATGTGTTATAAATCTTTATCTGAAATAATCAAGAACAGCAAAACTAAATCAAATTAGCAGCACACAGCTAGGCTCATTCCTTGCCATTTGTGTATGTGGTATATGCCCATGAGGACATCTTAGTTTCTGAATTACTTCTCTAGCTGAACCCAGAACTTGGATTATGGACTCTGCTGAGACCAGCTTTTATACAGATGATGGGGATCTGAACTCAAGGACACATGCTTGCATAAGAAACACTATACCTACTAAGCCAACTTTCCAATACAATGACCTTTACTAAAAATAAATTAGATTTATGAATAACTCAAATTACTCTAGATATTTCTGTTAGAAAATCCCAAACACAATAAACATTCAGAACAATAATACTAATCTTGCCCAAGTTAGACATGTTCAAGTTAGTTTCTCGCTGGAAACTGATTTTGAGAACTCAAGTATGTACACACTTGATAGCAAAACTTGCTTAAAGAGAAAAAGTAACAACAAAGAACACAAAGCAAGTGCAACTATAGACAATGGCACTAAACCTTGAGACTTATATATATTTAAGGCAGGGTCTTATTGCTGGGCAGTGGTGGCTCACGCCTTTAATCCCAGCACTGTGGAGGCAGAGGCAGGTGGATCTCTAAATTCGAGGTCAGTCAGCCTGGTCTACAGATACAGAGGTCCAGAACAGCCAGGGCTACAAAGAAAAGTCCTGTTTCAAGAAACAACAGAAGCAGCAGCAGCAGCAGCAACAACAACAAAAAAACAAAATAAAGGGTCTTATTCTGTAGACATAGAGATTGACCTATCTATGCCTCCTCTTGAGTGCTTAAGAATGTAAGTATATGATATTACGCCTGGAAAAGTTATTTTTAATACATGTATATCTCTAAGTATTTTTAAAGGGTGATAATAAAGTTAAGTCAACATGCTTTTGGTTTTATTTCCATTGAAGACTAATTTTTATTTCTCTTAATATGGTGCCCAATATGTGACAGGGAGTCAACCAAAGCTTGATGTTTCAAAGAGTAAATGAAGGTCAGTGTACAATTCAGTGGCAGTGGCAGAGCAATTGTGCAGCATGAGCTAAGTCCTGGGTTTGAATCCAGCAATTAAACAAACAAAAAAAAACCCAACATAAAACAAAAACTGAAACACAAACAGAAAAATGCCCAAACCAAATGAACAAAAAACCCCCGAGTAACCATTTACACAAATATATAATTTAGAAGCAGCTTAATAACTCATTCTACCGAGATATCAAACTTTAAAAATCTAAAACACCACCTTCATTCCCCCTTCCCCCCGCAAAAAACAAAAATAAAAACAAAACCCAACTGTGGTTGAGGCTGGTTTTCAATGTGAAATCCTCCTGCCTCATTGTACTGAGGAGTTGGGATTACAGGTATGTGCCAGGTATTTGTACTTCCTATGTTTACATGTATGTATGAATGTGAGCCTCTATGCATGGCATGTGTGGAGTTCAGAGGGAGCTGGATCTCCCTCTCCACCCAGTGCTTCCAGGGACTGAACTCATGGCTGTCAGGCTTGGCAGCAAGCGTCTTTCCTCTGAGCTATTTTACCAGTCCCACAAACTTCTTAAAATGATCACCTGATTATGAGCTTTGTAAAATTACAGTACTGAAAACCCAAGACAATGAATACACTCTGGTAACAAATGATTAATAAGTTTTACTCCCTTGGGACCATACCTCTGAGCTAATTTCATAATAATCAAAATTTAAAGACACTAAAATGAATGATAAAAATTCACATAATTTCTGTTATAGACATGTTGGAGAAACATGCCCAGATATGTTCTGATGAATTAGTTTTCTAAGTAGAATTACAAACCATGGAGTATCCCACTGTGTTAATCTACTTGCTGGGCAACATCAAAATTCTTTTCATTTTTGTCAACGTGTCAGCAAAAATCTAAGTTAGAGGACTTAGCAATTCAAGAAAATTCTGTAAGGCACAACAAGCCTAGAATATGCTTAATTTTTGTAGATTTCTGCCCCATTACATCTTTGACACAAGTCCTGACAGATACTGTGTTAGGCTATAGGTTTTCCATGGCAGAAGACAGGTCAATGAATCCTACCTAACATTCAGTGAACAACTATCAGTGCAAATATTTGAAATTTCTACATGTATTCTATACCTCTGAAACCAACCTGTTCTAGTAATAATTAATGGCTATAAGACAGTCATGAAAAAACCTGAATTCTTGTTCTGGGATACCACTTAAGCTTTTTTTCTCTATGGAGTTATATTTAAGTACCTGGACTGCAAACTTTGAAAAAAATTAATCTGTAATTCTTTTTTGGTTTTTCGAGACAGGGTTTCTCTGTATAGCTTTGGAGGCTGCCCTGAACTTGCCCTGTAGACCAGGCTGGCCTTGAACTCAAAGAAATCCACCTGCCTCTGCTTCCTGGGTACTGGGATTAAAGATGTGGGCAACCACCGCTGGATAAATCTGTAATTCTTTTTTTTCCCCCTGGCAGAAAATATCTTTATTGCACCTATTAATTTTGCAAATTATGACGAGAAGAACCAGAGCACAAGCAGGAACACAGACAATTAGCACCACAGAAGCGAATTGCGAATCTGTAATTCTTGTACTAATGTGAGGCCTGAGCTTCTCTAGTCTTTTAAATTGAAAGGTTTGCTCCTGATAGTGCCTCGTAGAGAGGCGATGATCTTCGTTACAAGTAAAAGTAGTTTCCGAAGTCAGAAATATTTTAAACAAATGAGGAAGTTGAGCTAAACGCAAGAACTAGCTAACAAAAGCTAAGCAGCAATTTACTAAAGCAAAACTAAACTCAGAAGTTTTAAAGTAGAAATGTTTACCGGCTTAATTTCCAGTTTTTTTTTTTCCTTGATATTAAGTAGTAAGGGTTTTCCGGTGCAAAACTGCAGAACTAGGGACGCATCCAATCCTAGCAACTTTCCGTTTGTTCGGACCCGGAGACGCCTTCGAAAATCAGTTTTTCAACAGGTGGTGGTGGGGAAAGAGTTTCTGGGCTTGCACCCTATTCTCCCTGCGGCGCCGGGAAGTCATGCCTTTACTGTAAGACACAAAAACAAACAGAAAGGAAAGATGGTGGAGGGGCGGGAAAGGCAGACCGCAGGCCGGCGGCTGAGCGTGTAGGGCACGCACTGCCCCGGTGTGTCCGCCCTCGCTGCGCGATCGGCGAGCACCGACCTCGAAGGCGGCTCGGTTCGCTCGGCCCGGGCGGGTGCCCCTGCTGCCCGCGCGCTCCGCAGGCCCGAGGCTCCGGTGGGGGCGGGGAAGGCGGGCGCGGGCCGGCCGACGTCTAGACAGCCTCCTCCCGCCGCGCAGGCCGAGGCGGCGCCCCAGCGCTCCGACGCCGTCTGCCGCCCCGGGCCGCGTCCCAGGCACCGTCCGAGGGCCCGCGGACTCGGCGGCCGACTCGGTGGCTGTCCCCGGGGAGGGGGACGGCGGGCGGCGGCCCAGGCCGCGGCTGTCAGGTCGCCCGTCTCCACCTCCACCCTCCTCCTCCTCCGTCGGCGGCCGCCGGCCCCGCCCCCGGCTCCCTCGCACGGGCCCAAGGCCCCGGCCCGCCGCCCGCTCCAACGGCCAAGCCCACCTTCCGTCTCCCCAGCTCTTCGGGACCGTAGGATCCGGCCGCCGTTAGGGGAAGTGCACGAGCCCTCGGCGGGAAGGAAGAGAGGAGGGGGGAAAGGCAGAGCAACGGGATGAAGGAGGTCCCGTTGCGGCCGCCGCCTCCGCCGCCGCCGCCGCTGCTGCTGCCGCCGATGCCGCCGCCGCCGCCGCCGCCGCCCGAGCGAACCCCGCCGCGGCCGCCGTGTCCCCCGCCGCGCCCCGTCCTCGGGCGCGCCCTATGGCAGAGCTCGTAGGCGGTCCTCAGCAACCGCCGAGCGGCGGCGACCAACAGGCGGCGGGCCTGGCAGACGGACGGCTCCCGGAACCAATAGGGGTGTAGGGCGGGTATGCCTATGATTGGCGGCCTCCTTCCTCCAGTGAAAACTGGGGGCGTGGGTGGGCGGAGCCGGAAGTAGAGCCCAGCCGTGTGGCCCCTGTCCGGCTGGGGCGGAGGGAAAGGAGGAGGGAACTAGAGGAGGAGGAGGAGGTTAACCAAGGCAGCGGCGGCGGCGGCGGCGGCGCAGGGGCTGGGTACGCGCTGGGCGGCGAGAGCCTCATGGCGGAGGAAGAGAGCGATCAAGAGGCCGAACGCCTCGGAGAAGAGCTCGTGGCCATTGTGGAGTCCCCGCCGGGCCCTGTGGGGCTCAGGGCTGCGGACGACGGCAGAGAGGACGCCGGCGGCGGCGACGGCTGTGGCGGCGGCGTCGGGATCAGCAGCCGGGATTACTGCCGACGCTTCTGTCAGGTGAGGCGCCCGTCGGCCGCTCCGACTTGTCACCCGGCTCCTGGGCCTCGGCGCGGCTGCTGGCCTTGTGGGCCACCTCTCTGGGCTGTGTCCGGGGCTCAGCCGCCAGCCGGACGGGGAGGGAGTCCGGGAAGCCCCGGTTCCCTCTCCGGAGCTTTCCGGCTTGGCGAAGGGGCACGGGGAGCAGGTTGGGGGTGATTTGCAGACTTCGGGGTGAGGAGAAAGTGAGTTTGTCGTGGTGGAGGGGCTGGGAGCAGGACGGTCAGCAGGGGAGAACTGCGTCCTGACCTGGCTCTGCCTCCCGGAGACCCCCTCGGTGCCCGAGGGTCCCGTCGTTCTCACGCACGTTCCCTGCCCGGCCCCCCTCACTTCTGCTGAGCTCCCCTGCCTTTCTCTAAGACCCACATCCCCGGCTTTCTCGGGTTTTTTTTGGAGTCACTAGGCAGGCGCTCATCCCCACTGCCTGCCCTCCTGTCATCGCCACCCCTCCCCCTCTGCTAGGGTCTCCTGTCATTCCCTCCTAGGTCCCCGTGGACCAGTTCTTCAGTTGGCACTGGCACTGACCCACCGTTAGCTACTTTTCCCTCCCGGGTGGGGGGCGCTTTGGGCGTGGGACGTTGATGGAGTGATTGTCATCTTTCCCTTTTTTGACCCCCTTCTCTGACAGACACACTGTTTCCTAATTAACTGCACACAGAGAAAGTCGTTTTCCTGAAACTATTGCCCTGGTTACACCACCCCTCCCCCATCTTTTAAGTTACACGGTTTTTTTTTTTTTTTTTTTTGGTTCGTCTGTTAATTTCAGCTTTGGAAAAGTGACAGTAAATTATTTCTTTCACTCTGCGGACTGCTGTTAGGATTGAATGTAGTTTTGCATTGAATTGTAAGCAAATATAGCAACAATTACGTGTTTAGGAATAAAGTCAGTATAATCTGCATTCTCATCCGCATACATTTGTAATATAGCTTTTTTTGCATTTGCAACGCTTGCTTCTTAAAAAAAAGATACTTTATCATATTACCTTTAAAAATGCTTCTTATTGTGCACATGGGATTCAGGTCCTGGGTTTATCATTTCTTCCCTGGGTACCTGTGCAAGTTACTTCACCTCTGTGCCTCAGTTTCCTTTTTTGTCAAGTGAGATAGTTGCTAGCTGGGTAAATACATGAACAGTTTGCATCAGTTAGCCCTTAATTTCCCTCAGGTCACAGGTGACGAATAAAGCGAAAGTGAGTGGACATTATATTGGTTAACATTTCATTTATGTCCTGCCAAGCATTCAAGTTTAAAAAAAAGGGTAAAGTTGATATTTTCAATAAGTTGCTAATGATTGAATATAAATTTTCTTTTGGCAAGTTTTTGCCGATGTCATAGATTAATTGGTTTGAAGGTCGAAACAGTCTGGGTATAAACAATGTATATCTTTAACATTTTTTCTGTATTTAATGAGTTTCTTGAAAATGTCTTTTCATCCTGACAATTGATGCTCACTGAAGTTCAGTGTCTATAGATCCTCTGTCTTATAACTACATGTTTCTTGTTTAGCAACCGTTAGGTTTTAGACTAGGAACTTCAAACCTAGGCAAATTAGCAGGCATTTGCTATTTTAAATATATTATGAGACAAATGGCATTGCACTTTTCTCTTTTTTACTTTTTAAAAGAACAGCTTTTCTCTGCCCCCCCCCCCCCCCCCCCCCCCCCCCCCCCCCCCCCGCTTTTCCCCCCCCCCCCCCCCCCCCCCCCGTTGTGTGTGTGTGAAACCAAGGCTAGATCTCCCAATGTGTTCCACCCCCAGCTTTGTGATATTAATTTACTTGTCCAGTGGCTCCTCATTGCTGAAAATTTTGAGTGCCAAGCATTTTTGGAGAACTTTTGCCCACCTTTAAATTTCCTCTTGAAGCTAAGTTTTAAGAGCAAATGAGCAGATTTAGCTCATGAAAACTATGACTACATCTGGGGTAGGACGCCAGGACCACAAGCTCAAGGGTTACCTGGTCTATATAATGAGACCCTCCTCAGTAAACAACAACGTCAGATTCTGATAGTTGTCTTTAAAATGTTTTAAGAACAGATGAGGTTGACTATTTTTTAAAATTATGGATAACCAAGACTAAAACTGAACAGGAAAAATGCAATGAAATTTTATATAGCTACATTACGTTATATAAACATACTTTCAGATTGCCAAGTTTTTCCTGAAAATTCATTACCTATTTTATACATCACTAATAGATCTCTTTCTGAGTTCCTGTTCTGTTTTATTTTGCAAGTGATATTTATATTTATATATATTAATTTTACATATTTTAAATGTAATGAAAGAATCACATTTAATAAATTACATTTCATCTACTACTTAATAAAATAGGAGTGTATTAATTGTCTAATTTTCCAGTAAGAAAAACAGTGGCTTATACAACTGTATTCACAAAGATCAATTCTTTTAAACAAATAAGGTTCTATTATTTACTAGTAGTGATATTAAATAACTTTAATTTATTAGCAAATTACCTAATAATTAGTAATTCTTAAAATAGATAATTTACTCTTAACTACTGACAGTAAACTGAGTATATGGCTTAAATATACAGCTTAGTATATTGAGAAGAAAATCTATAATTTATCTCCTTTTTGGAAGGAAATATGAATCAAATTTCTTGACAGTAGGTGCTAGGGTTATAGGAGAATGGAATGGAACAGTTCTTTTCAGCAAAAGTAAAACTAATTGCCTCTAATTACTTTTGAGCTATGTTATTTGCACAAGAAATGCTTCAGATGGGTACTTAACCCTTACTTAATTTGCTTTGATATGAAAGGGAGGGGAAGGCAACTTTTACTAAAAGCCTATTAAGGGTTAACCTTCAGACAAGGAGTTACAGAGCAGACTGTGAAGCCTAAACAAGTTAACTTTCCTTGCGTTCCAAAGGAAGGGCAAGCTGGGATTTGAATTCAAACTTCAGTATCTGCTGAAAGCCAAATAATCAAACACTTACCTTGAATTGTGTACTGTGGATGGGATACAGTGGTGGAAAGTTAGTAACAGGCAGGGGATAACAGTACAGTTTTAACAGTACAGGCAGTTAGTAACAGTACTCAAGGAAGCACAGATACAAAGTTTAAAAGAGAGCCAGGTGTGGTGTGGTGGTGCAGGCCTATGATTCCTGCATTTAGGATGCTGAGGAAGATGGATCTCTGAGTTAGAGGCCAGTCTGTTTGCATAGTGAGTTCCAGGATAGACAGGGCTATGTAGACAGACTCTTTCTCTAAAAACAAACAGAAAAAAAAAAAAAACCCAAAACAAAACAAAACCCACCTAAAATTAAAAAAAAAAAAGTTTAAAAAGGATGCTTTATCATGACATAGTAGTAAAATTAATTTCAACGAACATCATTGTTGTTTCCCTTGACTTGTTAGGTGTAGGAAACTCTCAGTTTCTAAAACCTAAAATGATTTAACGTTGGTCATACATTGTAAAGTAAACAAGTTAAAATGCTTCATTCTTAATTTTAGTACCAGAATGATTATAATGAGACACATATCTGGAAATCTGATAGGTTAAAGTAGACTATAAAATTATTTTGTACTACAGTGGGCTTGGTAGCGACCTAAGGAAGATGACAAGTGTATAAATTAGAGAATGGACATCATGAACATAAAGCTCTTATGTTCGTACCTAGTGCATAGGTAGGAGTAAATAGATAGACGATATTAACATTTCTGTGATGCAAAATCCTCTGTGGGTTTAAGAGGGGAATTAGAGATAATCTTACCTTTGGAGTTGACAGATTCTATCTCATAATGAACTTCAGATACCATTTTAAAATGTTACTATCTCTAAATTTTAGTTTGTAAATATTGTCATAGATAGATGCTCGGGATAAGTAAAGCCCAGTGACTTTCAAAGCATCTGTATTTTCTTTCTGGTGGGTTTTCAGGAATTTTTTTTTTTTTCTCCAAGGGGATTTGGCAGATTCAGAATAGAGTGTCCTGGCAAGCAAACCAGTGGGATGGGGCTAAAAATGCTGTCCAGCCTCCCATCGCATAGGGTAGGACAGCCCAACAATAAACACGGTGTTTACTGTCAGTGGTACCTACAGAAGGAGCCTGTCATATCCTAAATTTTGACTTCATAGCTAAGTGGTTTTTTATTTGGGTGGTTCTTAGCAAAAGATATTAATAATTCTGAAGTAATTTTAACAGTAATTATGGCCAATGTAAGACACCTAAAGAGATGGTCTTAACAGAAAAAGGGCTTGTTTGCCTCATTATTTTTTTTTTTAAATAGGTATTTAATTTCTCTTCAAAGAAATTCAAATTGTCTTAGAAAACAGCCTTTTGGTCTTGTTACAAAATGTATACAATACTTGCACTTTTGTGAAAGATTTCTGAGGGTGTATAATGTACTGTTGTTGTTATTTTTGTTTTTTTCATTAATTCTTACTATTAACTTTTTGTCTTTAGTCAGTTTATATATTTCAAAAGTCATATATGAGGCCTACGTATGAGGAATTCCTTTTCGCTCAAAGTTCAGACCTGACTTAAGTGACTTAAGCTGTGGAGATGTGGACTACTCATGGAAAAGTCTTGACTAGATGGTGCAGGGAAGGCACTGTAGACGTTTACAATTGTACAGTTTCTGTTCTCTCTTAGTTATTCTTCTCTCTCCCTGGTTTATTTCATAAGCCAAGGTACATGTTAGAATTCTAACTTACCACATCTGACTTCTATATGACATGACAAGGGTATTTTTGTGGGGTAGTTGAAAAAATATCTTTTCTTAAATCTTGTTCATTGGCTTATTCCAGCTTGTTTAGTCATCCCCATCCACAAAAAATATTAGAACTTATTAAAAATGACAAATTCATGCTTAGGATTCTATTCAGTAAAGAAGGGAGAAAAGAACTTTTGAGTTATAGAAACAACTAGCTTTTTATTTGGGGGGAGGCATGTAACTTTTTAAAAAAAAAAATTTTCTTTCTTTCTTTTCCCCAGAGACAA